TCCCTTTAAGTATTTCAAAGATTCATGATCACTATGAATTACAAACTCTTTTGGTAAAAGGTAATGTCGCCAAGTTTGTAAAGCACGCACTAAGGCATACAATTCCTTATCATAGGTGGGATAGTTTAGGGCACCCCCATTCAACTTCTCACTAAAATAAGCAATTGGATGACCTTCTTGTAGCAAAACAACTCCAATACCCACATTAGATGCATCACATTCAATTTCAAAAGATTTTGCAAAATTTGGTAATGCAAGAATGGGGGCATTAGATAGTTTGTGCTTAAGTTCGAAAATGCATTTTCTTGTTTTTCACCCCATTTAAACCCAACATGCTTTTTTACTATTTCATTAAGAGGTGCAGCCAAAGTACTAAAATCTTTAACAAACCTCCTATAGAAACTAGCTAACCCATGAAAGCTTCTCACTTCACTCACATTCTTAGGGGTAGGCCACTCTTGGATGGCTCTAATCTTTTCCTCATCAACTTGTACCCCTTTAGAACTCACAACAAATCCCAAGAACACAACATGATCAGTGCAAAAGGTACATTTTTCAAGATTAGCAAATAATTTTTCCTTCCTAAGTACATTCATGACAAAGACGCAAATGTTCAACATGCAAATCAAAGTTAGTGCTATATATCGAATATCATCAAAATACACCACTACACATTTGCCTAAAAACTCTTTCAAGACATGGTTCATCAATCTCATAAAAGTGCTTGGAGCATTAGTTAACCCAAAGGGCATAACTAGCCACTCATACAACCCATATTTAGTTTTAAAAGCTGTTTTCCACTCATCTCCTTCTCTAATTCTAATTTGATGATATCCACTTTTCAAGTCAATTTTAGAGAAGATACAAGCACCATACAATTCATCCAACAAGTCATCTAACCTAGGAATGGGATGTCTATACTTTACCGTGATGTTATTGATAGCTCTACAATCTGTGCACATCCTCCAAGTTCCATCTTTCTTAGGGACTAGAATGACTGGACCGCACATGGACTCAAGCTTTCTTTAACCCACCCCTTTTGCATTAAGTCTTCAACTTGCTTTTGAATCTCCTTGGTTTCTTGGGGATTGCTTCGATAAGCTGGTCTATTAGGCAATGAAGCTCCTGGAATAAGGTCAATTTGATGCTCAATACCCCTAAGAGGGGTAGACCTATAGGCACTTCTTTGGGAAAAACATCTTCAAAATCCCGCAACAAAGAAGGAACCTCTTTTGGAAGAGAGTTAGTAAAACATGGACTGTTTGATTTACTTTCTTTACTCAAAAGTAAAAGTATTGACTTTCTCAATTGCATAGCTCTTTTGACTTCTTTTTCTTTTATAAATAGATTTGATTTTTTTCTCTCTTTCTCTTTTTCTTCCTCTTTTTCCTTTTTGTTTTCACTCTCTTTTTCTTTTCTCTTTTCTCTTTTCTCTCTCTTTTTCTTTTCTTTCTTCTTTTCTTTTCTTTCTCATTTTCAGTTGATCCTCACTAACTTCTCTTGGAACCAAAGGTGCAAGAGTAGTTTTGCGGTCTTTATGCATAAAAGAGAACTTATTAGTGAAACCATCATGCATAACTCTCCTATCATACCGCCATGGTCTCCCAAGAAGTAAATGACAAGCCTCCATAGGCACCACATCACACAAAACAGAATCTTCATATTTCCCTATGGAAAAACCCACTTCAACTTGCCTATTCACGGTCATCTCACCATCTTCACTAAGCCATTGAAGTTTGTAAGGTCGCGGTGTGGCTTAGTCTCCAAATTCATTTTTGAAACCAACCGTGCACTAGCCACATTAGTGCAACTCCCACCATCAATGATCAAAGAGCACAACTTCCCTTGAATGAGGCACCTTGCGTGAAAAATATTTTCTCTTTGACAATCATCCAATTCAACTGATTGACTACCCAACATCCTTCTAATCATGAACAAATCTCCTTCTAACTCTCTTTCATCTTCATGCTCATTTTCATCACCAGATGAAGAATCTGAAGACGATTCACTAATTATTTCTCCATCCTCCTTAAGTAACATAGTCTTCTTAGTAGGACATTGAGAAGCTATGTGACCTCTTCCCAAACATTTGAAGCACTTAACCTCACTACTCCTTATTTTCTTAAGTGCCTCATCAAACTTATTTTGATTTCTATGAGCTATAACATTGGAATTTCTTGTTGATGATCCTCCCTCCTTCTTATTTTTGTCCTTCCAACTAGGAGTGTGAAAATTAGATGGACTTCTCCTCATGACACCCTTTCTCTTTAATTGTTGTTCCACCTTTGAAGCTTGATGTACTAAATCCTCCAACTCAACATAATTTTGCAGCTCCACAACATCCCTTATATCACTATTTAGCCCATGTAGGAATCGGGCCATAGTAGCCTCCCGTGCCTCCATAACATTAGCCCTAATCATGGAAACCTCCATCTCTTTGTAATATTCATCAACACCTCTACTACCTTGTATGATTCTTTGGAGCTTGTTGTGAAGATCTCTTTGATAATGAGAAGGAACAAATCTTCTTCTCATCAACCTCTTCATTTCTTCCCAACTTTCCACCAAGGGTTCTTCATATCTCACCCTTTCCCTTTGTAATTGGTTCCACCAAATAAGAGCATAATCAGTGAATTCCATGGCTGCCACCCTCATCTTTTTATCTTCTCGTGTAATTATGGCATGCAAATAGTTGCTCAATTTTTATTTCCCACTCCAAATATGCTTCCGGATCACTCTTTCCTTGAAAAGAGGGTATGTTCAGCTTTACTCCTTCAATTCTCGTTATCTCTAACATCACCTTCATTATTTCTCCTTCTCCTCCTTCTACCTCCACCATCATCATCATTTCCTTGATTTTCTAGTTGTTCAATTCTCCCATACAACTCCTCGCATGTTCTCGTCAACATTCTTTGCATTTGGGCCGTAATGGCATCAATCAATAATCTATTGTCACCCCCTAGAGGAGGGGTACCACCACTTGCACCTGTCATCTTTCAAGTAAAAAGAAGAAAGGACCAAACAAATGAAGTAATAGGACCTCACCACTCTTCTCACGTGTTTGCACTCAAAGATGTACCACTCGTGTTTACTCTCAATTTGGCTTTTGTATAATATGCACTCTTGCCTTTTTCCACTCGTTCTCCGACTTATGGTTCTTACAAGAATCAAACAATCTATAGTTCAAGAATCACTTTCAACCGTAGCAATCACAAGGAATAAAACAGAATTGTAGTACCAACAAAGGACAAGTAGTAAAGAACAATTTTACTACTAATAACAAGCAAGACAAATTTAAACTATGGAAAAACAAAGATTAGACAAAGACGTTTGACACTTAGGAATTTTATCAAACAGACTAATGTGCACCGAAATTTAAAGAACAACTGCCACATATATATATATATATATATATATATATATATATATTTTTTTTTCTTTTCTCGATTCTTTTCTTCTTTTGATTCTTTTTTTTTTATTCTTTTCTCTTTTTTTTTGTTGTTCTTTTCTGCAGTAAAACTAATTTCAAACACAACTTTGATATATATATATCTAAATGAAATTCAATATCAAAATTGCATAAACAATAAATTTTTTTTTAACAAGATACTGAACGATGATGAACAAGACACGTGAATAGTATAATTAACAGTACGTGAACAGTGACAATGAATAGTAACGTGAATAGTGACAATGAACAATACCCGTGAACAGTAACAATGAACAGTACGTGAACAGTGACAATGAACAGTACGTGAACATTGACAATGAACAGTACGTGAACAGTGACAATGAACAGTACCCTCCCCCTGAACAGTAACAATGAACAGTACGCTTTTGAACCCTGCTCTGAATACCAAATGACGACACTCAAACAGAAGGGAAACAATTTAGGGTTAGGTTTTAAGAGTTGATTTGATTAGAAAACAGAAAAACATAAAAGATACCGTAGGCGCCACAAATAAGAATATTTGATAAGCCAAGAAGGATTGCCACAAGAATCGAATAATTCTTGATAAGATCAAGTGATGCAAGGAAGAACCCTAGCAGAGCAACAACTCACAAAGTAATCTGAATATTACGTACGTTCCTTCTGAATTCCCAAATGTTTAATACAACTTAAGTTTATGAGTTTGTCTCATTGCAGGAAATAAAGATAAATTAAAATCCTAATATCCCAAGCAAAGTTAAGTTGCCCAGATGGTTCAGTGAAGACATTATAAGCTTTGGGTCTTGGGTTCAAATCCCCACTGTAGCAAATAAAATATTAATAATAATAAAAACTAAATGTTTTAGTTGGGCCTCCTAGCTCTCCAAACATTCTATGCATGTGATAGGTCTAGACTCCTCCATCTTTGGATCTTTTAATAGTTGGGCCTTTAGCAAATTGGTCACTTTGTATTGCAATGCCTCTTGTGCTTTTCTGAGCCTGCCTTTTGTCATAGGTCCACCTAAGTCTTGGATTGGATCTTGGTCTTGATCCTTCTCGTTATGGGCTTGGGCCTTTATGTCCACGTCACCCCACTATGTTTTTGTAAGGGAGTAGATGAGTCTGATGCCTCTACACAACTTTTATGATTCCAAAGGATTTGTGCCCTTGTGTGCTACACACCATTTGCATGTTTCGACAGTGTCACAACTATTGGTGTCTCGTTCTTATCTATTTTGTTTTCATGTTTAAGATTGGCTTGTCTCAGTGCAAATCTAAAGTTCTGAATTTTGTTCAAATATTTTTTAATGTAATATAAAAATCACCCCTTTAAATTATTTGACAGGTATAAATTAAAAAAATGAATTCTGCTAATTGGTGATGAAGAGTATTGACATATCGGGTTAATTGCATCTGTGTTATATATTTATGTTTAATGCATTTTCGTGATTTCATTGTTTTTCTGATTGATGACGGTGATTATTTAAACTAGCATTCAAATTACTGGTTTAGTACATTTGATATCGGTTTGTCAACAACACATGGTTTGGTTTGGAAGAAAACAGAGACAATGAAGGGACTCTACAGAGAGTAAGGAACATGAAAGAGAATGAAAAAACATCTCTTCAAATTTTTATCCTAAAAATTTAAAATTTAAATAGAGAGTGAGCATTTAAACAAGTTCCAAACTTAAACTGACAAGAAAAGCTTGCTGAAGCATAATGAATCAAGCAATATTTTGTTTTGTTATTTGTAAAAGAAAAAAGTAAGCTTTTAAAATGATTTTAGAAAATAAGGTAAAAAGTAAGAAGAGAATGAAACAAACTCATAGTATCCCCATCACTCTTAGACTGTTTCTTTTAAAAATTACCAAATGAGGTTAGAATTATTAAATAAAAAGTGATGACTCTTTTTTGTAGTTATCATATTGGAAGATCTTTGAAAAGAAGTAAACACAAGGGGTCAAAAAAGAACCCCAGTTTTAAGTTAACAAGTAGAAAACTCTTTCAAAGTTCTTTAAAGAATAAATGGTTTATCCTAAGTCAACAACAGTAGTCAAGCATAACAAACAACAATAGTGGTTAATATCCTCTTTGTTCCTGAAAGCAAACCTAGCTTCAGAAACAACACAGTGCTCATGCTCATCAAAATTCAGAGTTGGCTGCTGCAGCCAAAGGTATGGAGATTTGTGTGTTTTGTTTCATCTATTGTTGGACTTCTCTGTTATGCTTTAAGCTCCTCTTTCAATCATTTATATGGAAATTGGACCTGGTGGAAGATCCCTCTTTACATTGTTTTTAGTTTCTTGATCTCCCTTTCCACCTTGTTTGCAAAGACATGGGAGTATTCCAATTCTCGCTGTTTGGAAGCTCACGCAGCCTTTTTTATTTTGCTGATCACTTCTGTATACTCCTTTTTCGTCGATAAAGAAGTGAAAGAGAAACCAGATGCATATAATCTGGTTTCTTGTGTTGCATTTGCTACCATGTCTCTAGGCTTGTCAAGACTGAGTCACTTTGGATTTGAGGTTGATCTCCTGTATTTTTTCAGTGGACTTCTGACAGTACAACTCATGAAAATAAAACCTTGGTTAGTGATTGTTGGAGGAGGTTTCAGTTATTCTCTGATCCTTCTTCGTTCCTCTTTGGATCCTCGACCAAGGAGTGGGTATCATGGACTTCCACAGCCAGATCATGTAGTGGTTGAAATTGGTTCACAATCACTGACACAAGGAACCAATCATAGCGTTCCTCAAGCGGATCCACCCCAAACAATTATCATCGGTACTGGTAATACTTGTCCACAACCAGTAATTGATCTTGTTTGGCCTTCAAGAGGAACAACTCGTAGTGCTTCTCAAATAGTTTCACCTCAAGAGCGTGCTGGTGTTGCTGCCCCTCCAGAAAACATTGACAGCCCCATGGCATGCTTCATGGATTGTATAGAGGCTCTTAAGAAGGAGAATGGGAGCGTTATCAGCACAATTTCCAGGCATGTAGACAAATACCTTAAAGCTAATGTTCTCAGTGAGGACCGGATTTCAGTGCCAAAATTGCATGGCGACGACAACATAATGGTGGATTCATTGTCGTCAGGAATTATCATCCTTCGTGAACGTGCAAAGAACATGGTGTTAGATGGATTTCAGAAGGAATGCTTAGACGTGTACAGTAATTGGCGGAGGGATTTTCTGAAAGAGAGTCTATTGACATTAGGGTTGCAGGATCAAGAGTTCAACATGGAGGACAATAACAACATGGAGAAGATTGAGAAGTTGATAAAAGCTATGAACGTAGCTGCGAGGATACTCTTTCCCAATGAGAGGAGACTCTGCGATCTTGTCTTTGGCGGCTCCATTTGGAAGTTTCATTTCAGAGAATTTTGCACGGATTTAGCAACCAGTCTACTGAACTCTGCCCTTGCCTTGCCAACTTGGAGCCATTTTATGCGCAACACATTGCAGGAGTTGATACAAGAGTTTCAGTCATATACAACACTCGTAAATAGTACAGTGTTCGTGGTAAGACAGAGATTGTGCCTTCAAGAGACTTTGGAAGATGTAACACTCATTCCCTGTGGCGGGCTTCATCCTATTACCCTTGAAGTGATGTACTATCTTTACTCTGATTACAAAAATAAGGAAATTAGCACACTTAGCCAAGCTTTAGAGGAGGGAAAGATTTCATCGACTGTGTACATGGCTAGAGTGGCAGAACTGTTAAAGAGTAGTTTGGAAGCCAAGTCCAAAAATGCCAATAAGTTTGAACTGATGTACTACATTTATTCTCTTCGCCGAAGTAGGGAGAGTAAACTTAGCCAAGGTTTAGAACAAGAAAAGTTTTTTTCGCCTGAGTGCAAGGCCAGGACATTAGAGCTTTTAGAGAGCAGTTTGGAAGCCAACTCCAAAAATTACAATAACCCTACTTTGGGTTATGTTTTCATCATGAACAACCTAAGATTCATAACAGTAGAGACAAAACTGAATGGATTGGAACCTATTTTTGGCGATGACTGGCTCCAGAAAAATACAACAAAATTCCAACAAAACCTTGAACTCTATCAAAGAAGCTCATGGAATAAGATTGTGGACTTTTTGAAGCCGGACATCAATCAGCTAGAGCCTAGTGTTGCAGCCGAGTTGATGAAAGATAACCTTCATTGGTTCAGTGAACACTTTGATGAGACATGCAACGTTCAGTCTGCATGGTCTATCTGTGATGAGGAATTAAGGGAGCAAATAATAAAATCCATAGAAAACATCCTGTTGCCAGCATATGGAAATTTCCTCAGGAGATTTGAGGAACTTATTGGGAAGCATGCTTATGAGTACATTCAATATGGAATGTTTGAGGTTCAAGATCGACTCAACAGATTGTTTCTTGTAAGGGAGTAGATGAATCTGGTGCTGGAAGAGAAGGAAAGGTTAAGCGAGTTTATATAGATTTAGAGAGCAAAATTTTTATTATCCCATAGTTCCAAGGATTTGTGCCCTTATGCTGTATACATGTATGTTTCAACACGATCACAAATATATAACTAACTCTCTGACTGAAGAGAAGGATGTTGTTAAAATTCATTTTGCTGAAAGAGATTCTTTACGTATCTTCTATTCATGAAAACTATGCTCTTCAGCCTTCAGAGAATTGAAACTGCTTTAATTCTTTGAGCATCTGTTCCCTGAATTCAGCTTGTATGCAAATTGAGCACCAGCACTTGTGTTCTTCAGAAACACCTGGTCCGGAACAGTAGTCACAAAATGCCTAAAACAACAAACACATTGGACCATAATGTATTTCAGGCCACATTTTTTAATAAATTTAAAATGGAATTCCACAACATTTAATAAGTGATTATCTAAGATTCTGAAATGAAATGGATCTCTGAATCAATTTTTACAATAATTTTATTTTTATTTGAGTATTATTATGAATTCTTTCGCCATTATAACTTCTTACCATTGACTCTGAGTCACATTTCCAATTATGAGACTCGTCGAAGCAGTGTGACTGAGCTTTGTTGACAAAAGTTAAGGTCAAGGTGGTTACATGTCAAACCAATGTATTATTGCTCCGGTTCATTCTGAAAACAAAAACAATCATAACAAGTTTAATAAAATAAAATGTCGAAAGACTTTTATGTAAATTAAAAAAGTAAGATAAATATCATAATTATAAATTCAATTTTAAGAGTTTGTTTGGAATAATATATTAGATTCGTTTTTAAAATAAAATTTATTTTGATTACAAACAATTTATGAGATTAATCTACAAAGTTTAAAATAATGTAAATAATATGCTAAAAAATAATGTAAATGAAATGTAATTGTTAACTTTTTGTTTGATTATGTTATCAACTAGTTTTAGTGCCCTTGATCTAAATGACTTACCAAAGGATATTAAAGATATTGTTCTAATAATAAAATAATCAATTACAAACTAAGAAAAAGAAAGAGCAATTTTTTATAGGCAATAAATAAAGATGTAATTTCTCAGTAGTTTTTTATATTTTATTTTTTTACTTAAATATAAAGAAAATATAAATCATGATATTTTCTAAAATTATTTATATTTTTTATCCAAAATAAATTATGATAACCTTGTAATTTTATAATTACTTAATTTTAATCTATTTATTTGTTGTTTTTAAAAGTGATCTTTTTTTTATGTTATTTTTAAAAAAATTTACTTTATATTATTTTTCTTTCCTTCTACAATTTTTTTTATAATCCAAACATAATGTAAAAAAGAAAAAACTACTAATAATTATAGAACACTATTAAATAACATTAATAAGACTTTGAAAAATAAGATACGTTGACAAATTGACCGAAAAAATAGCCGACCCGTTCAAGAGACAAATATGACCATAATTCAAGGCTTGTTTCAACCATCTACTAATAATACAATTTTTTTTATATTGACGATAATTTCTGTTAAAAATAATTTAATTTTAAATAATTTAAGTTTTCTGAAAAGAAAAATAAAAATAAGATTTGATACGTGAGCTATCAAAATTATATTTCAATAAGTAGAAAATAAGGTGTTAAACTGCATTATTTGATGATAATTTAATCAAAATTAAACTACTTGACTGACTCATAATTTTAAATTTTTATAAATTAATTATTTTCAACAATCAAATATAAACACAAACTTTTTCAAATATTTTCCTATAATAATGTAAATATAAAACTTAATATATCAATAATCAATTACATCTATAATTCATGACTTTTTTCTTCAATAAAGAATATTTTCTTTGTTTATTATGAATAAGATTATATCAATTAATTCAAATAGAACTCAAACAGGTTAAATTTATAATTATATAAATATAATTATTAAAGTTGGAGAAATCATAAACACTATAAAACTTTAAGGTTCAGAGTCCCCGCCAACACACCTTATATAGCACCGCTTTCATCATCAAATAAAAATACTTAGAGTAAACTACAAGTCACTAAGATTTAACATATAAATAAAGATTATAACTAATTATTATACGGTTCACATGCTTTATTCTCATCTTAGTGGTCAAACAATATATTTTCCTCTTACAAAAACCTCGAAATTTCGCACTGAAAACGACTGAACAACGATGGAGACCGAAAGATTAAAGCATGTAGAACAAACCAAAAACGACAATATATCATTCAAAAGATTCATAGACCAACAAGGCTGCAAAGAAGATAAATACGAAATCTAAACAGTAAGAAAAAGCAAAATAATTAAAACAAAAAATTCAACTTAGGGAAAAGGAAAAGAAAATTATGAGTCAAACCATATTTGATGTTCCTCATTTTTCTATTTTTGCAATTAAAAGTGAAGTCAAAGATCAAAAGACTGAACAAACGAAGTTGGAATGAAGAAAGCAATAGAAAAAGAAAGTTACCTGTAACGAATATGAATCAGCGAAGGAAGAAACCAGTACCCACGTTCACTACGCTTTATCTTCTTCTCGGGTCTCTGCTATCTAACCGCGTTGTTTCTATTTTCCACTTTTGTCCTCACTTATTCAACAAACCGCGTCTCCCAAGGGGGCAAATAGGTCATTTTAAACCTCTCTGCTCCTCTTCTTGGTTCTTGTTCCTGCTCAGTGCATGAGATGAACTAGGTTTGGGTGAAAACATGTCCGAAAACGGGGAAGAGAAGTTACTCGCTGTGGCGCGGCACATAGCGAAGACGCTGGGCCACAACAACACCATGTCTGATGACATTTTCCAAATATTGTCCAACTTCGATGGAAGGTTCTCGAGAGAGAATCTTTCTGAAAAGGGCGTAGATGCGGATTCCAGAGCCTGCGCTGCACTCGATCATTCTCTCAAATCCCTTGACCACCGGATCTCTCACTACGTCTCCACCGACCGTCCAATCTGGGCCGACGCTGCCCACGCCGCCGCCTTCCTCGACGCCGTCGACGAGCTCGTTGCCGTCGTCGCCGAGTGGAACCACCTCGCCTCCGATAAGTCCGTCGCCGCCTGCCTCGTACGCGCCGAAGACATGCTCCAGCACGCCATGTTCCGCCTTGAGGACGAGTTCCGCACGCTCATGGAGCGCGGCGGCGAGTCGTTCGGCCTCACTCGGAGCTACCGCAACGGTGAGTCCACGGAGAACATGCCCTTTGACTTGGATGAGGAGGACGAGGAGGATGACGATGCGAGAAACGGAGGTGACGAGGAGCAGATTCCGGTGGCGCTGCCGGTCACCGACTTCGACATCGTCATCGATGCGCTGCCGTCGGGGACGATCAATGACCTCCACGAGATCGCGAAGCGAATGGTGGCCGGCGGGTTCGGGAAGGAGTGCTCGCATGTGTACAGCAGTTGCCGGAGGGAGTTCCTGGAGGAGAGCGTGTCGAGGTTAGGGTTACAGAAGCTCAGCATCGAGGAGGTTCACAAGATGACGTGGCAGGACCTTGAAGATGAAATTGAGAAATGGATGAAAGCCTCCAACGTTGCTCTCAAGATCCTCTTCCCCAGCGAGCGGCGTCTCTGCGACCGCGTGTTCTTCGGATTCGCCTCCGCCGCGGATTTTTCCTTCATGGAGGTTTGCCGAGGATCCGCGATTCAGCTGCTGAATTTCGCCGACGCCGTCGCGATCGGAAGCCGGTCTCCGGAACGGCTGTTCAGAATCCTCGACGTGTTCGAGACGCTGCGTGACCTAATTTCGGAGTTTGACGCTCTGTTTTCTGATCAGTTCAGCGTGTCGCTCAGGAACGAAGCGATTACGATTTGGAAGAGGTTGGGGGAAGCGATTAGGGGCATTTTTATGGAACTGGAGAATTTGATTCGCCGGGATCCGGCGAAGATGGCGGTTCCCGGTGGCGGTCTTCACCCAATTACTCGCTACGTGATGAACTACCTCCGTGCGGCGTGCCGGTCACGGCAGAGCTTGGAGCAGGTTTTTGAAGACTACGGGCTGAAGGAGTACCCCAAGCTTGATGATAGAGTGCCCTCGTCTTCTTCTCTTTCAGTGCAAATGGATTGGATTATGGAGCTGCTAGAGAGCAATTTGGAAGCAAAGTCGAAGATTTACAAGGACCCTGCTTTGTGCTATGTTTTCTTGATGAATAATGGGAGGTACATTGTTCAGAAAACCAAAGATAGTGAATTGGGAACCCTCCTGGGTGATGATTGGATCAGAAAACACGCGGCAAAAGTTCGACAATTCCATGTGCACTATCAAAGAAGCTCGTGGAGTAAGGTACTCGGGATTCTGAAGCTGGATAGTAATGTTTCACTACCCCCTAATGGATTATTGGCAAAGTCAATGAAGGAGAAGCTCAAGTTGTTTTATTCGATGTTTGAGGATATTTGCAAGGAACAGTCTTCATGGTTTGTTTGTGATGAACAGCTAAGGGAAGAAATAAGAATTTCGCTTGAGAAAATCTTGTTGCCTGCATATGGAAACTTCGTAGCGAGGTTCGCGAATCTTTCAGAGAATGGTAAGCATGCTGATAAGCATATAAAGTATGAAACAGAGGACATTCAAGCAAGACTCAATGAATTGTTTCAGGGATCAAGTGGTAGCCGAAAGTGAAGGTGAAGCTGCAACTAGTTTATTGTGTGTATTTGTAGTGTAATTAAAATTAAAATACAATGTTATGATTATGACAAATGTAGTCTTGTAGTCTTGTCCTATAAATACTACTCTATGTTATTCTGCTTAGCATCCATGTGAGGATGATTGAAAGGATTTTGAAGCCAAGAGAGATTAAAAATTAACGTTTCTGTTGCAATATTTGCGGTGACTCTTATTGGTCATTGCTTTCATCAACTCTTCTTCTGTCCAGTGCTCAGAATATTATGAATTTACTGAATCAAGCAATTTTGTATGTTTAATCATTTATGCACGTTTCTGTTTTTTCTGGTTTTCATGTTTTAGATTTGCTCTGTGCTGGTCCAAAGAGTTTAACGATTTTTAAGTCGTCTTATTGACGAATACATCGAGTTTATTGACGTAAGTATGTTTCATTTCTTAACACTACTCCCCTCTAGGATCAGAATGTTTATTTTATTCATCCAAAAAGTAGTATTTTGAGTTCTTATTTATGGCAGTTCGTGAAAGATATTTTGTATGCAGTAGAAGCTAAGAGCTAATGGATTGTTCTAACTAATAAAGGGGTTTTGTGACTATGTTCGATTTTTCGTCTTTTGCTTTTGTTTTTTGTAGCTAAAGTGAGATAAAGCCCGGTTTATTACTTAACTAAAAGAATTTGTTTATGCAGTGTGGCACTGTTCCCTCCTTCCCGTGGCTGGATCGATTTTTCCCCAAATATTAATACAGTGAAGTGTGACCAGGTGACCCATAGCTGATTTCTAATACTTATGATCAACCTAAATTCTCTAATACCTTGAATCGTAACCTGAATGTAGAGACGAAAATGACCACACCTATAACTTTATCATTGCCTGAAACGTGGCAGGCGAGCTTTGCTTTAACAAAGCTGAAGTAATGCAGTGCTGTTAACAGTTTGTAGCATTTATTTACTGATCAAAGTCATCTACATCCCAATTGTGGTAATTTGAGATATTTATGATTGCTAGCAGATGTCAGAACCTCTTAGCAGCAGTCCTAGCTGTGAAAGAGGGCATCTTTTATGGTTGGAACACAGATACCTCTTAGCTGCGATTCCCTACTGACATACCTCTTTTTTGAATTTACCCAAATACCTTAATTATGGAGTTATGTTCAGGATATTGATCTCATGACCCAGAAACCTTAGGAAGTTCAAATCCAAAATCTCATTCCAACAAACAAATGAGTTATATGCCCTTTGCTTCTGTGGTTGAATTATGGTTTCACGGCACCACCATAACAATCAAAGTTTAAGGTACCTCAATCAAATTAGATTATTACTGTGAAATTTTTTCCCAAATAGACCTTTTTTTTCCAAGATAAAATTCGATCCCAACGAACCAAATTTATTTTGTCGTCTACTCTATATTCTACATATAAATAGATAGAATAGGTTTCATCCTTCCCTTTACCGCACTTTACTAACTTGAGTTTGATTCTTCTCCTGACTTACACCCCCTGCAGCAAATTATTAACCTAGAGTGATTTGTGTAATAAATATTTTTTATACAACAAAATTTAATACAGTAATCTTTAGATATGAAATCAATAGTTCAAATCAGTATTTAAAGCGAAGATAGTTGGAGATCATCCACTCCAGATCTTACTAATTTACAAAAAGTTATCCTACTTAATTTGGTAAAAAGAAAGTAGCAATCTTGATTTTCAAGATGGAAAGAGAGAGGTAGAGACGATGATTTTCAATCTATAATTTGGTGAAAAGAAACCTTTGCATTGATTTTTATGAATCTATGGATATTGTAAGACAAAATTAAACAATAGGAAAAAAAAAGGGAAAAGCGTGTCAATGAAAGGCAGAAAAAGAGAATAACCCGTACTTTATTTTATTTTATTTTGGGGACAAAACATCTATGTAGATTACTTAATTTATGAAATTTTTAAATTCATAATTGAAGAATAAATTTAGAAAGGAAAATCTTCATACATAAAAAAATAACAGAAATCAAATTAGTTCATTTTGCTCCTTAAATCTCTCCCTTGTTAACAGAAAAAAACTCACCAGTATACACACAATACTTGTATACCTCTTAGTGAATTGTATAAAATGAATTTATTTATTCCAAAAGGAAGAGTACGAAATTTATTTTTATTTTTCATGTAATCTAATGATTCAATAGTCGTTTGATTAAAAAAAATTTGATAAAAAGACGAAGAGGAAGTATATGAGAAATTGGTGAGTTTTTCCTGTCGTGGTGAGTCTCTGATTCAAGTCAACAAATCGGTTAATTTCTCCTTCAACTGTCTTCTTCAGTGAGGTAGGGCCGGAAACGAAGCAAACCAGAGGGTGAGTTGTTTTTCCTGGAATGTTCATACGCGTGATAGAGAAATATAAAACTTGTTTGACTTTGACGACCTGAGTCTTTGAACCCTTTCCTCGAAATTTCATCTCAGGATTAATGATGCTTGGTATATATATAATATCTGTGTGCAAGCAAGTCTTATTCATTCAAAGAAAACAGCAAATGATGACTTCTTTGACCATCCAAATCACGAGATGGCTGAAGCACGTAGCAGTATGGAGATTTGTAGGTTTTGTTTCAACCATTGTTGGGCTTCTTTGTTATGCTCTCAGCTCCTCCTTCACCCATCTATTCGGAGAGTGGAACTTGTTGAAGATCTTTCTCTACACGGTTTTTAGCCTCTTCATCTGCCTTTGGAGTCTACATGCAAAGGTATGTCCACACTCAACGAGTCTCCGATTCAAAGCTCATTCAGCATTCTCGGTTTTGACCATCACATCTATGTACTCCTATTTTTCTGATAAAGCTGTGAATGGAAAACCAGATGCATATAGCTTGATTTCTTGTGCTGCCTTTGCTATCATGTCATTCAGCCTCTCAAGGCAAACTCAGTGCGGATTTGAAGTGGATCTTGTTAATTTCTTCTTGGCATGTACTACTCATGAAGATTAAATTGGCATTAGCTATTGTAGGAGTAGGTTTAAGATATGCCCTTATTATTCTTCGTTCCCACTTGGACACCATATCATACGAAAATCTTGGAGTCCAAGACGAGCATTCAGTTGTGGTTGATGTCAATAACGCGAGTTTGGTGCAACAACTCATGACTTGTATTAGGGCTCTTCAGCAAGGGAACTCGAATCTCACCACAATGCTTTTGGAGCATTCGAAGGATTACCTTAAAGATAAATCTGAACAAGCTAGTATCGACCATAACTTTGTGATCGATTCGCTACTATCCCAAAAAGTCAACGAGCTTCGCGAAACTATAAAGCCAATGGTGGGAGATGTGTTTGAGAAAACATGCTGGGATGTGATGAACGTTTGGCAAGTGCACCGTAATAATAAAATATCGTCCTTTGGGATTGAATTTGTTGAATACTAGATTACTAATGTACGTAAGTTTGAGCAATTGAAAATTTGGATAAAATAGCAAACATAGAATTATAATAAGAACTTGAGTCAAAATAAGATCTGTTAGAGAATTGATTTCATACCCTTTCCTATATAATTCCAGTCCTTTCAATTGATGCAATAAATGTAATTATCCACTTGAGTTTACACAGAGTTGTTTTACCCCTAATCCCTTAGTAGGCAAAACTATTCATTGAATCCGAACCCCTAATCCCTTAGGTCAGTTACGCCATTCAATAGAATCATGAAAAAACAATAATCTTCTCTATTGCAAACTAATTAGATATATGCCCAATTTCCCAATTGTGACAAACCCTAACCTGTTATATTTAGGATCGCGAACAACCTCCAATCTCCCAATTGTGAAACTGCTCGTGGAATGAACTTGAAAATTATAAATAGAACACTGAGATAAAGAACATTAACTAAACATCAATTGTCAAGAACAAGAAAATATAATTCAGAGTACTACATCAATCCTCTAACAACAGGAAAATCAGTTCTGCATAATGTAAAAAATTGCTAAAAGATAATAACTAAAACGTAAAAAATTCTCTAATGGTTCTCCCCCCTTCTTCAGTTTTGTTCCACCTTCTTTATAGGGTGTCCCACGTTTTTTCTCCACTTGTTGAGGTAGTTACCACTTCTCATAACTGTCTTGAATTTTCACATGTTGTGGAAAAATCCACAACCCACCTGTGGAACTCTCCGACTTCAACCGTGCCTTCGAACCACAAATCCACGAGGTTGTGGAAACATCCACAACTCACCTGTGGAGCTCTCTGATCTTGATCTTTGCATTCTGGTACCAAATCCACAGGTTGTGGAACATTTCACAAGGTACCTGTGGAACTTGCTCCAAACTATGAATTTAAACCTCCAAACACCTATTTACAAGAACAATGCACAAACCACATGTGTGATCCAAAACAACGATAATGCATGATGAAATCGTTCCCATAATGCAACAACATATGAAATTAACCTAAATTAATGCATGAATGTAATGATATTTTATCCACTCATCAAATTCTCCCAAGCTTAGACTTTTGCTTGTCCTCAAGCAAAGAGAATTTAATAAAAACAGGACAATAATGCAAACAAAATGATGAGTGTTTTTGATTGGGAATACATCGTCTTGTCTCAAATCCAAATTCAATCAATGATATTCCAAAAGTATTTATTCCACAATTGTTGTTGGGTCCCTAAGTGAGTTGAGGAAAGGATGTAAGGCACAAGACATCAAGAAAGACAATCTTTGAGCTTTATTTTTTCTTTACAAAACTTTTTCTTAGGTTCTGGCCTAGAAGACAATTACCTGCCAACTAAACATGGATCTTCCACTCAGATGCTTTGCACTTGCCACACCCAGTCTCAAAGGAGTGCCTCTTTCCCCAGTAACTCACACAGTCTCAAAGGGGTGTCATTTCACTTATTATGTTTTTTTTTTTTTTTTTTTTTTAAGAACATTATTGTGAACTAACAGACAATTCTCCAGTAACCAAATGCAGTGAGTGTCACCATAGAAACCTTAAAAATTTAAAAACTTTCATATCCTTTTTACTT